ATATTAATTCTTTTGGCTTTTTATTATATTTACATTTGTTGAACGGTCAATATAGTAATATTACTTTATTACACAATAATAATGAGTTTTGTTGTGTTAATATTACTGTAATAGAGATTAATATAGCAATATTGCTGTGTTAAACTGTAGTTTAGTTAATTTTACTGTGTTTAACAGTAATATAGTTAATATTACTGTCAATCACAGCAATATTGTTGTTTAAACGAGAAAAAAATGTTATAGAAAGAAGAAAAAAAAAAGTCAACGCCTGAGACCGGCGAAAAAATCTGGAAGAAAAAAAAATCGAAAAGTCAACGCCGGAATCTAGCGGCAATTTTTTTTTTGTTGAAAACAAAATTTTGGGTCAAAATTGATTAATATGTGAAATTTGAGGTCAATTTGAGGTTAAATTAAAGGCTGCGCTATATGCAATACTAATTCCACTTGTGCATGACCAAATTAAAGAGAAATTCCAAAAGATTCTATTTTATTAAGATGAAATGACAAATATACCCATAACTTAAATTGGCTTTTTTTTCTCATGCAAGACCAAATACAAATAATGAGGTGAATTAATCTTGTGGTCTTGTAATAGGATTTTTTGTGTTTTTGAATTTTTTGTCTTGCACATTTGGAATTTTCTATTTTTTTAACAAGGGTATAATAGTATTTATACATTGAAAATTTTAATTTGGCCTTGCACAAGTGATTTTAGTCTTACATATAGCCGCAGTCTAATAAAATATGTACAAAGAATTAAGCTATTCTAGAGCTCGACTCGATTGCTAATTAAACGAAGTTACAACATAAACCTAAAAGCTCGATAGAAGATAAAAAATAGGATTTATTAGGGATAATCCCCTTGTTCAGATTTTCTAATGAGGTAGATCCAATTAATTTTCCCTTTTTGTGATACACTAAATATGCCAACTTGGCACGATATATTATTTGATCTCCCTTTAATACCCCTATTTTATTTTTGAACGGTATTTATTTAAATCGTGTACCCTATATATTATCTATTATCTCTACAAAACCCTATATCTCCATTTAGTTTTTAAGGCGAAAGAGTGCCGCCGCCAGGTTCGCCGCTTCCACCTCTGACCGCCGCCACCTCCGTCACCGCTGTCGCCTCCTCCATCAGCGTCACCGCCAATAACCGTTACCGCCTCCTCCATCGGCGCTGGCTCTTCTCCCGTCACCACCAAAGTCGCCACCATTACCTGCGCCGCCACCAGAACCTCCACCAAAGCCATAAGCAACACCTCCACCACCACCTAGTCCTCCACCACCACCACATCCGACCATCTCCACCTCCAAGACCGCCAAAATCGACCAAGACCTCCGCCGCTCCCGCCTCCAAGGTCGTAACAATCAATTTAGGAGTGATATCGTCGTTTGGCCGCCGCTGCCGTCACTGCTCCAATCTAGGGTTACTCAAATCTAGGATTACTCAAATCTAGGGTTTTGATAATTCTTCGGCCCATAGTTGATTAACGAGATGCATAGTCGAATTACATCTGTATTAATCGACTATCAGTGTTAAATTAATAAACTATTACATATTTTACTTGTGCTTTAATATTAATAAACTAAGTGTCATCAACTTGAAAAAAAAGCCCAAATAATTAATTAACTATAGACTTGTTTTATATTTACTAGATATTTTTTTATCAAGAGTATTCATATGTTTTACAAACAGTAACATCAATGTTTATTTGTATTTTAATATTAATAGACCATTGCAAAATAATACACTATCAATGCCAAAATTAATAGACTATCAATGTTCATTTGTGTTTTAATATTAATAGACTATCCCATATCATTTAATAGACTATCCCACTGATATAATTCGACTATGGATCTCGTTAATCGACTATGGGCCGAAGAATCATCAAAACCCTAGATTTGAGAAGTGATAGCGACGGATATATGTTTTAATATCAATAGACTATCCCATATCATTTAATAGACTATTCCATAGATCTAATTCGAATATTGATCTCGTTAATCGACTATGGGCCGAAAATATGGGCCGAAGAATCATCAAAACCCTAGATCTGAGAAGTGACGGTGGAGGATTTGTGTTTTAATATTAATAGACTATCCCATATCATTTAATATACTATCCCATAGATCTAATTCGAAATCTCGTTCATCGACTATGGGCCGAAAATCATCAAAACCCTATATCTGAGAAGTGACGGCGGCGGCCGCCGGTGGCCAATGACGATAACAACGACATTGGGCATTTAAGTTACTTGGCTTCACTCCTAAATCGAGTGTCGCACCCTTGGAGGCGGAGGTGGTGCCGGTCGAGGTCTAGGTGGAGGTGACGATCTTGGAGGCGGAGGTGGTGGCGGTGGAGGTGCTGGTGGCGGCTCAAGTGCAGATGGTGACCTCGATGCTGGAGTTTTAGGTGGAGATGGAGGTGATTTTTGGGATTTAATTGAGGGTACTGATGGAATTTAGAAAAATTGGGTTTTTATCAAAATGACAAATTTGAGTTTAGATCTATCCCTATTTTTTGTAAGACTATGGGGTTATATCTAATGGACTCTAAAAAATAACTTGACCAACCATGTAATCGATTTGACTCAATTTATTTGACCTCTAATGTAATTTATGAAATAAATTAATAAAAATATTAGGACCCACGAATCACGATGCCTCTTGTGGATTTTTCTGGCTAATTATTAAAAATAATAATTTAATAGGTCTTGCAGGCTTCTCTTGGCTAAATTATTTATTTATTTATTCCACTTAATTTATTTATTTTTGTATTTTAATAATGGAGAAACAGAGTTAAAAAATACACAACACATGCCACCGAAATTAGGAACAGTAACTAAAAATGGGCACCTGCTTAGTATGTTCATACTATGCTACAGAAATGAATTTACCAATATGTCCCTGGATTTTTATACAGGAGAGAAGTATCATTCGATATTGCGCCACGTCACCTTTTTTTCTTCTCCGTAGGAAGCTCGTCACTCCCTTATTGCGTTTAATTTTCTTTCCAACTGTAAAAACTAAAAACCAAAAGCGAAGATGGATAATGTACTGTGTGTGTGTGTGTGTTATTTTGATATATACAACTTAGCAGTTAGAACGTGAAATTAGTAAGATTGGTAATAAAATCTTTTGCCAATGTTCGATACGATATAATGAATAAAGCTAGGAGATGAAAGAATTAGCTATATTTTCAATGTGGCAACAAAAAGGACAAACCGGAGAATTTTTAGCCTTCAGTATCTGAAGTTCTTCAACCAGACTTCCTGTCCTGACATTTCGAAACTCGTTTTCAGATAGTAGAATTATAATAATAAGGGTAAATTACAACCACCCCTGAGGTATGGTTGAATTACAAAAACCCCCCTCTTGTTTGAGTAATTACAACCACCCTTCAACTATAAATCTTCTTACACGTTCACTCTTGTGGTTTCAAATTTAGTGGAATCTTCGAGATTATATGGAATATTATCACTTTTTTACCAGTTTTATCACATTCGAACTCTACATTTTGAAGCAAGATGATCATAATATGTGTTTTTTGGCTTGTATATACCAGATTATGGTACATCAGAAATTATATTTTATCACAAAACGAGTACAAACTAGAGCGCATTCAACGAAATCTAGATGATTATGTTGAATTTGACATCATAAAGGTGGAGGTGTAAGAAAAAATCATAGTTGAGGGGGATAGATGTAATTATCCAAATAAGAGGGTTTTTTTTCGTAAATTGATCAAACCTCAGGGGTGGTTGTAATTTATCCTAATAATAATAATAAAAAAGCTTATATATAGAAGGGTTAAATTTCATACATTTGTTGCAACTGAATCACCTGACAGAAGTCGGGGTGGTTACCTGCAATTTGTAAAAACCAATACGTAAGAGCAACTCCAATATTTCAAAACCACTAATTTTCTTTTCTCATAAACCGTAAGAAATTTGCGTAGAAGAGCGTCCGCAAAACTCATTCAAAATCCGTGAACACCACATGTTTTTTTTCAAATAAATAAATATAAGGGTAAATTACACCCACACCCCTGAGGTATGCTTAAATAATTGTAAGGTCCCTGTGGTATCAATAATTACACTCACCCCCTTGAAAGGTAGTTAAAAACTCTAACGGGATAATGCATTTGATACATTATTCCGATAGGGTTCTAATGGACTATTGGTTTCAGGAAGTGGTGAAGACAACAAAGAGTTATGAGTGATTTAAAAAATATCGGAGGAGCCATGTCACCCCATAACTCCCCATAACTCTATGTTATCTCCACAACTAACTAAAAGTAATAGTCCATTAGAACCCTATCGGAATAATGTATCCAATGCATTATCCCGTTAGAGTTTTTAACTACCTCTCAGGGGGTGAGTGTAATTATCGATACCACAGGGACCTTACAGTTATTTAAACATACCTCAGGGGTGTGGGTGTAATTTACCCTAAATATAATAAAAAAAAAATACCTGCAAAAATCCATTTGTCCCTGCCTCTGTTAACTCAGTAGCATGGCCCGCACAACGAAAAAATGAACAATTGAGATAAGAAGTTGGGCAAAGTATCATTTTTTCACGAATCAGGCGAGTAAATTAAGGGCATTACCAGAGGTTTGCTCGGCATACTTGAGCAATTTAAGTAACTCTTCCTGACAAATATCAATAGGCAGTGATGAGTAAGCAATGACTGATAAAGAATTACGTGAGTTTTTGAGTAAAGCAGTGGTTACTCTTAGTGCAGTGTTCTGCTGCAGAATGATATGCAACGACGGCAGAAGTGAAGCAGCAGATAGACTTGGTGATGCCCGGCTTGTCGAACCACCGGATATCGGGTTACTGAGGTTTATTGGACCCTGAATAAGAGATAGCTAAGTTTCATTAATTTTAATCTTGACTGATATATATAGTACTCGTGTAAATGAAATCAATTAACAAAATATTCAACTTCGTGCTCAGATTTATCACATATTTTTTTCGGTTAAGAATATGACATTAATCCCTTTCACACGGGTTCGCGATCACGGATTCTTGACGGAAGAGGAGGCTCATTTCCTCACGACACGCGACCGCAACAACAAGATGAAGTTCAAAGACGTCACGATTATCGAGCCGTCGTTGCGACGGGAGAAAGTGAAGCTGAGCAGATGGGATATGAACAAGGGTAACGGCAAGAAATACGTGTTCCAATTACTTAATAAACGAAAATGGAGACACGTTGTCGAGAGGAATCGTCTTGAACCCGGGGATGTGGTTCAGTTATGGTCTTTTCGGATCGATCAAGAGTTGCATTTTGCTCTTGTCAAGCTCCCAGGTAATTGTTGGTCCCGATACATAAAACGGGTAGTGAATTTAGTAAATTGGTTGAACAAATTAATTAGTGAAAATACGAAAAGATTAGCCGAGGCGAGTTGACTCTGTCCTTAAGACGAAATTTCCCCGCAACGGTGCTAACGGATTAAATGGAAATCGTCTCCCAAGATACAACGGCAAAACTTGGAATAGGAGCACTCCAAATCCCAAGTACGATGAACTGTACTTTGTGTAGAACTTTTCGAGAGAATCTGTGGAGGGTAGGCTTAATATATGTAGTAGGCTTGTTTTGGATTGAAGTAAGGAATTGTGGGAAAGTTAGGGTCTATTTATAAGGTTCGAAAAGTAGTGTCCTTTTGGAGTAAAAAGGTACCTTTTGTTTGAATGGTTGCACCATTTCGAATTGAGCCAATTGGGAGTGGTTGCACCATTTCGAGTTGAGCCGAATGGTTGGCATTGGTTCGGCCGCACAAATTCAGACCAGTCAGACCAATCGAGATGGGCTTCGAGTAATAAGGGCCCAATGGGTTAAAAGCCCATGACATAATATTTTTGATATATATACAACTCAGTAGTTCTCTACTTTTCCAATGTGGGATAACTCAAAATCCCACTTTCCTTATATTTTGGACTAGTAATTTTTTCATTCACCACAAAATTGGTTCTAATCCAAAATTCATTTATATACTCAATTTAGACCGTACAATAACATTGATAAAAAATTGTTCATGACTCAATTTTTAACCAATTTTCCCAACAATCCCCCACATGAATGAAAACGAGGGCGTCGATTCTCTCTAGAGTTCCCACGAATAGTATTGCATCGGGATAGGTAGCATATAGCTTTGAACCTTCCGTAGTGGAGTTACATCGGATTTACTAGGCTGAGTAGTGAACGCGATGTCTTGAACTGTCAGCCGTTCGTGTAAACCAAGACAATGCAACCCACACAATACTATTCTCACATTTCCTTAGTTCTCATGATTGTGTCCGTTTTGGCCATGGACACACATCTTGGATTCATAAGTGTTTGTCAAGTTGTTTTTTTTTTTGAAGCGGCCCTCACTTCATACACTTACATAGATGATCTCCTATTAAAGGTATCCTGCCAATACCTCACCTTTTGTTATAAGGTTTTGGAATCATTAAAAGCGTTAGCTTATCCTTTACCCTTTCTGCAGGTAGCACTATTATCTTTCGCAGGAATGAGTTAGGAATGAGTTCCTTAGTGCTCAACTGAACTTTCTTAGCTTAGTTGTCCCTTTTGAACCAGTTCTTGGGATCTCTAGTCAGCATGGTTGGGTTACCACTAAGATTGTCCTTAATTTATGGGTTTTAATCCCATTCCCCTAGATAGGCAAGGCAAGATGTTTGATCTCTTTAGTTGACTTTTAATCGCGGATCCGCTATTAACCATTGATTTTCATAATCAATGTTATATTATTTCTTTTGAGATCAATTGCCTAATGGTCTTATGTGTACGAGTGTATCGATACTTGCCATTATATATGTCGTTTGTGCCCTTAACGTAACCGATTGGTTATCACAATTTATTCATAATTGTAGACACCGACTAAGTCCAACACGGAACATCCTCCAATAATTTTATGAAATTTATTCAACTTCTTTTCTACCCTTATCTCAAGTTATACATTCGAATTCGTCCATGAATCGAGCTATTCAATTTTGTTTGAGGATTTCCAAGATACATAATCTTAGTGGACTCATACATCCAATGTACTTTCCTAATACAATTGGATATTTTCTTTAATGTAATCCATTTAAAGGCGATACTTAGATTACCTAAGAACCCTTATAATAAACATCATTGAATGATTATTTATTTTGGAATTACATATTTACTAGTTTGCAATTCATTATGCTGCCAAACTATCCAAAAATATTTGTAATTGAACCATTGTTCATCATTATTTTTGGCAAGGTAAACCCTTGGTCTCTAGATAACTAGATCAATTTTCTAGTAGTGTCTCAACATGAGACTTTCAATAAGACTATCTTTGTCTTAGTGATTTTAATATGTAAGATTACATCGTCTAGACCCTCGTCTTTTGACATCAAAAATTTTATTTTTACTTTTCCAATATTTTCTCAACGTTCAAAATAGTATCATGATCACTATCTCATGATTATAATGTCGTCTATAGACATATACTTCCATGTGCTTTTAATATAAACACACTGGCCACACTCGTTATTACGAGAATTACTAACACAATTTTATCAAATATTACTTTAGAATATTTCCATAGCTATTTAATTTAGCTTGATATTACAATGTTATAAATAGTCAAGATTTTTCCATAGCTATTTAATTTAGCTTTATTGGACCACCCTTAATCATTCCTTTGAATAGTCCATCAAAACCTTAACGGTTTACTACTTGGAAGAAGACAAACTAACTTCCACGTACATTCTTCCAATGTAGACAATATTTCAATAATTGTCCTTTGTTCATTTTATAACTCATAAATTATAAAATCAAATCAAAATCAAACATATTGATTTTCTTTGTCATCTTGTTGTATCTTGGTTGTTCATCACTTTGATGATTTACCAATCACACATGTTTTAACTTGGTTGTTCATCACTTTGATGATTTACCACTTAGACATTTATTAGTTCTCTTATTTAGAACTTATTTATTTTCTTATTTTACAAGAAACCACAATATGATCAATTTGCATCAAGAGTGACTATCTCGTGCACAGTCATTATTTATATATTCAATATTTATCCACTTGACTATACTAGGCCTCATATTAACTTAGGTACTTTTTACCTTGGCCATACACCCCCACATTTCTAAATATTTATGTGGTTAGCTCGGAATATTTAATTTATGTGGTTAGGGACAAAAGACCCCCACATTTCTAAATATTAACGTGGTTAGCTCGGGATATCTAATTTCCCCCACAAATTATAGAGAATGTATTCTAGAATTTATCAATATAATATCCATAACCTTTTTCCAAAAGTTTTAGTTCTCATTTTTTAATTCATTTGTCAAAGTTGGCACTTTCCAACTTTCATTCACATAGCATTTAAATGCTTTGAAATCCTTATTTTTATTTTATTAATAAGGATACACAATGTAACAAAATACATTTCTTCTTTAGTTGGATCACCAATATGATTTAATTACAAAGTATTGTTTTTCTTTCTCTCAAGAAAACACAAAAAGAGAAATCTTCTCAAGATACTTAAATCTTGTCAACAAATAAGATTTCTTCATTTTCCTCAAAAGAGAAACCCCGTCAAGATACTTAAATCTTGTTAATAAACAAGAGAATATTAATCTCTTCAAATGGTGGTTGATCTCCACTATTCAATATTAACGTTAGAATATACAAATTCTAACCTTAATCGTTCATAATTTAGGATTGTATGTCCTAAACATGCCGTTCAAAATTCAGCCAAATCCAACGATTTAATTCTACAAACAAGCTCTTAAGTAAATTGCTCGAATTTTATTTCAACAAAGCATTCATTGTTGTTTACAATTATTTCGGATGTTTGGAAATCAAAATCCGATCTCATCCATTCACATTGTAGATCATCACATTGTAAATGTGATATCAAAAAATCAAATTGAACCAACGATTCGATCTTCTCTTATGTTCTTGAGACAAGAACTACTCATGTGCTCTCATGAATTGAGCTTCTCTTTCTTTCTAGTTTATTTCAATCACGCTTTTAATTAAACAATAGTATGATTCATATATAAAACATATGTACATAAATGTTATAATAAACATAATATATGACATATGAGCACGACGTTCATACTAGTTGATCATAGAAAGAAACAATATATCAAGCATATTATATCAACATATAGTATACACACGAGTATATAATAACATCAAGTTTGAACATAATATTTCATGGCATAAATTAATTCATGTCCAACATAATAAATTGATATAAATTCTATAGCACGTAATCAATGCTTGTCCATGCAATAACATAATTCTTAGGAATTAGTATGGCTTACGCAAATAATAATATATATAATAATATTCCTATTACTAAGTAACTCATACTTAATATACGAGACAAGTCTAATCGTTTATAGACAATAATAAGAACGGTAATAAGATCACGTACTCACAAATTTCATATAACATATTTGAAATTCTTTCAACTGAACGGTTCCACATCAAATGAAAATTGGGAGAAAGCTAATCCCCTATCAAAACTATATGCAATTTATGCAAATAAATATTGCATTTTCATAAGAAATGTCATGTAGTATAGCACATATCATGATGTTTATGATACACTTATTCAAATAATTAACATATATGCTATCACTTTATTGCATTTAGGATAAAAGTATTTCTATCATTAATGCACATGCAACAAACATAATGAATATTCATTAAGCATATATATTGTATATGGTTCACCATGCTTCGACTTATGAAAATTAGACTATCATGCAATAATCCACCATTATATCATATAGCATAATCAATATATTGCACAAATAGAGATCTTATAATTAAAAAGCGTACCCGATAAATTATATGTTCGTCAATTCAAAATTTTGTGGGTAGCACCAAATCGTGTCAATATTATAGTAGTGCTGAATGATTTATTCATATCTCTTCCGTCCCAAGTCCGATTTTGTTGATTCAATATGATCCGAACAGCCAACAATTTTTTCTACAACTTTAATCTTTTACGTTTTCTGAGATTCGGACTGGATCATGATCAAAATAAGCCTCGAAGTCGGAATAGGTGTGCTGTAAATTTGCACCTACAATGGAACCAGAAAAAAATATTAAATAATATTCATGAATCAAAAATAATATAAAACCTCATTATTGATCTTAGATTCAGTCTTCTTTCACCAAAATTTCGTGCATTGGACATTGGTGATGCATTAATATGCGACGAGTTGCATTGGTCACGAACGGTTGTATTTTTCATGAAAAGGTGCATCGGCAGTTCTGCCACCCTTTCGTGTTTTCATCATAACTTCCTCGTACGATCTCCGATTGTGATGATTTAACATGTTCTGGAAAGCTAACTTGATTATCTACAACTTTTGTGAAATGTTAATTTTCCATATCCGGACTTTAACATCTTCGAAAATGGGAAAGAATGTGGACTTCATGTTCTGTCCGAAAATGAACTTTCTCCAATTGTATTTTGTAACTTCTTTGATTTTTGGCAAACTATCTTCTTCTCCATCTTGTTTACCAGCGTGTGCAGAAAACACAATTTACTAAATCACAAAAGTTTCGTCTTAAGATTGTTGGTCCCGATACATAAAACGGGTAGTGAATTTAGTAAATTGGTTGAACAAATTAATTAGTGAAAATACGAAAGGATTAGCCGAGGCGAGTTGACTCTGTCCTTAAGACGAAATTTCCCCGCAACGGTGCTAACGGATTAAATGGAAATCGTCTCCCAAGATACAACGGCAAAACTTGGAATAGGAGCACTCCAAATCCCAAGTACGACGAACTGTACTTTGTGTAGAACTTTTCGAGAGAATCTGTGGAGGGTAGGCTTAATATATGTAGTAGGCTTGTTTTGGATTGAAGTAAGGAATTGTGGGAAAGTTAGGGTCTATTTATAAGGTTCGAAAAGTAGTGTCCTTTTGGAGTAAAAAGGTACCTTTTGTTTGAATGGTTGCACCATTTCGAATTGAGCCAATTGGGAGTGGTTGCACCATTTCGAGTTGAGCCGAATGGTTTGCATTGGTTCGGCCGCACAAATTCAGACCAGTCAGACCAATCGAGATGGGCTTCAAGTAATAAGGGCCCAATGGGTTAAAAGCCCATGACCTAATATTTTTGATATATATACAACTCAGTAGTTCTCTACTTTTCCAATGTGGGATAACTCAAAATCCCACTTTCCTTATATTTTGGACTAGTAATTTTTTCATTCACCACAAAATTGGTTCTAATCCAAAATTCATTTATATACTCAACTTAGACCGTACAATAACATTGATAAAAAATTGTTCATGACTCAATTTTTAACCAATTTTCCCAACAGTAATAAATAATCGGGGCCCCTTAGTTAATTGTGGATTAGGGTTTGATCAACGGTTAGATTATTGGATATATCATAAGTTTTGGATATTAGGGTTTTCATATTTTTGTTTACATACTGACCACTTTTTATTTTGTTTTTCGATCCTTTTACGAATGTTATCGACTTTTGTTAGTTATAAATTTTCTTCTTGCTGGTTGATTAACT